CCCCAAAACCCCAAAACCCCAAAACCCCAAAACCCCAACAAATCACAATAATATTTCTAAAAAAGTAAGAAAATGGCCAAAAATCCTTTATAGGGGTTAACGATTTCGCCAAATTTCAATGAATTTTGAGGGATTTTTATCAAAATCGCTTATAGGGGTTAACAATTTTTAGGAAATTTTAAGAATTATGGAAGATATTCAGTGAGAATTTTGTGAAAGAATTTATGAAGAAAGGCAAGAAGGAGGGTATTGATATAAATGACATTGTCTGAGATTGCAAATGGAAGGAGAATGGGTGTACTCAGTTAAGCCATCAGAGGTGGAGTATTTAGCTGTAAGTTATTGAGGAGGGGAGATTGCTCTTTGGAAAGATCCCATAAGCTTATCTGCACTAAACCATTTTGAGATATATTTTCGCAATTAAATGCATATATAGAAAGATTTCATTATCAAAATACATCCGCTAGAGTTATACCAAGAGATGATTAATGATAAGCCTCTTCAATCGTGAAATCTGAACTGCAATACTTTTGAAATGCATCAGGTAAGTAAATTATAAAAGTGAGAGTCCTAATTATTTAGGAAAGAAGTGATATCATTGAAGAAATAAAAAGGCTAGGAAAAGTATTCATGCTTAAAGCAATATCAGTCAGTGCTGCCATAAAATATTTGGACATCATTCTATATAAAATAACTATGATAAAGCAAGGAGTGGTGTGCATCAGCAAATCCAAAGTATTAGAATTATCAAATTCTCGAGTTGCAATCTTTAAGAAATCTGATGCTTTATTCATGAAAACTGACAGTGAACCTCGCTTAAGAAGCTTGATCAACACCAGCCTTGAGTTGATAGCATTAACTTGTCTTCTGATAGCCACTAAAGTGCATGAGATAGATTGAACTTGCTTAAGAATTTACGAGCTTGAGAAAGAAAGCAAGTACATGTATACCTATAAGAACATCACTAAATGAGAGGGGAGGATTCTTGAAGAAATTAACTGGAATACCTACATCCAGACTCCTCTCGATTATACGAATCTATATCTCACAGCTGGGGTTCTATTCACTAATGATAAGTACCTGAGTGGTGGAGAAGAATTTTATTTCTCTAAAACCAACAATGATGCTGACCAGGAAAGAAAGATTTCTGAGATTTATGAATCAATCATAAAGCTCTGTTACAATGACTTCTACAACCATGACTATGAGCTTTTACAATATGAAGATAGGCTTGTAGGAATTGCTACTATTTGAGCTGCCAGGAAGGTTAGCAAAGTAGTCCCGATTATCTCAGAAAATTTCTGAAGCATGTATGGCTTCACAATGGAAGAAATCGAGGAATGCCTTGAAACCCTCAATTCTTGAGTTGTAAAGATCCCATTGCTCAAGAAAAACAGCAGTTTCGAAGATCTCACAGAACAAAAGCGCGACACTCGTCATAAAGAAGTTGAGATAGTTGTACAAGGTAAGTAATTTGAGCAAATTTTAGAACTTCCTGACGAAATGTCGTACAGGTACTCTAAATTATACCCCAAGGAAATCAGAAAAAGCCAGGTAAAGAGCCCGATTACAATTGATGATGAAGAAAAAGATTGCTTCCAGGATTATGTAGAAGGAGGTCATAAACCTAAAAATTTTGCAGAGATTATTTGACAAGATACTGCTGATGAAGTCGAAGAAATGCCATTCAGTAAGCCTTTACTAAAGGAACGCTCAAGCTCAGTTTCATGCCGGCCTTCAGAGGTGAATAAAATTCAACTGAATAATGTTGAAATCTCTGGGCAGAATGAAAATACAGAGACTACAAAGAACCATAATAAAACTTTTAAACCAAAGGTATCAAAGAAGTTAAAGCAGAGAGTAAGTCCTAGACAGAAAAAGCCTGAGAAGAGCAAAATTACAAAGAAGAATAACAATTCTAAGGTAGAAAGTCAGCCGGCTTTGAAGTATAAAATGCGTTTAAAAAATGCTAAAAACTCATCAAAAGTTGAGGAAATAAAGTCTCTGAACAATATCAAGAAGACAAATAGCGCTCTAGAGGGCATGAAAAGACTTGCTAAAAGCGAGAAATATCCTATTCATCTGAAGCCAGGAGGAAATACCAAATCTAGAACAGGTAATTTATCTATCTATAACCTTCTAGTAACTCAAAATGCAGTTAGGAGTGTGTCCCATAGAAAACAGCCAAGTGCAATGAAGCTGAAGGATATGTTGAAAGCATCTAAAAACAGATCAAATAAAGTGAAATCTTATAAAAATCCGAAAGATTACCAAAAGTCTAAAGATTCTCAAAATAAGCTCCAGAGAAGCAAGAGTTTTGACAGTCCTACTCAAAATTTAAAGGAGGAATCTAAAGGGTCGAAGATGTATGATTATATCTCATTTTTAGCAAGGAGAAACATCCTTACGACATCTTAGGTAAGCCTGAACCTAGGCCAGGAGTCTCTCTCAAGCATATTCGCAAAGATATCCAAAAATAAGGGAGAGAATAACAAACTCAAAGGAAATATTAAAGTCTCCAGCCTTGCTGGGACTAGAAATAATAGAGTTATTTCCAAAGGAGATGGAAAAAGGGTGATTTAAGCCTATTGATAAATCTCTTAAGAAAGGAGAACAGGTAAGAGATAACCTAAATTGTTTATTGCTGAATTAATCCTGCAGATACATTGTGAGGTCAACTAGTCAAAGACCGTTCCTATGTCTTAGGCTCCCAATAGATTATCAGACCTATTTTTTGTGTACACAGGGGGATAGAAATATTTCTGAACAAATTTGGAATTTGTGGTGTATGTAGCATATAAATTACTTATTATCAGAAGTTTTAATGTATTAACCAAGATAATTTATTAACCATTGCTTAAATAGAATCGATCAAACGCGAAGAAGAAGAGCATGTATTATGCGATGAAGAAGAAGTCAGATACAAAGGAGCTGCTAAACACAAGTGACCATTTCCTAAATATGCATAAATCTTTTGATATCAAGCCCAAAAGTTTTACAGCTAAAAAATCAAGTGAAATTAAACTTAGGTAATCACCATTAAAAATTTTCCAACCGAAATTTGGCTTGAAACAAGATTTTATCAGCATTTTCTTGACCGAAGGATGTTTGTATTTCTCAGTGCTGACAAGCCCACTTTCACATTGAAATCCATAGTTAAGCCAGGCATGAAGTTCTTCCTTGATAAACATTCTTAAATAAAGATCAATAGCTGCATATTGGTTAAGAAATAGCTGTTAAAAGCTGCACAAAAATTGGAAACTTTTTGTTCATCTACTCTTGTACTTCATTACGAGTCTCTAAAATCTGCAGAAATTTGGACGGTTTTAAGAAACCAGGTCTGAATAATCTTAATTTTGAACAATTCTGATAAATTTCTAGAACAAAAGAAGACCATGATGAAGAAACTGAAGCTGATATGTTAGAAGAAGACACTGTAAGTCAACTAGGAAGAATATTTTAGGTGAATGCTATCTATCAAACTAACAGCAAAGTAGTGATGCAGTTTGGAATGGGGAAAATAGCACAATCTCAAAGGCCTTCAGATATCGGGACATTAAAAAAGCATCGTTGTAATTAGAGAGTTCAATAAATGTGCAACAAACTGGGGTTTTGGGGTTTTGGGGTTTTGGGGTTTTGGGGTTTTGGGGTTTTGGGG